AGTAGCCCCTTCAATTGGAACTTAAGCCAAGTGCAGCTGAGAAGGTATGGCTATGGGGGAAGGGAGGGAAATAAAAAGTAGAAATTGGAATGTTCTTCTCAAGACATTAATAGGTCTTTGACAAGAGATCATGAATGTTCCTTGGAGATTAAGAATCACATCCATAAATGATCAGATGGTTCCCTTTTTTAATGTACAACTCATTAGTGACTTATAAACACTAGAGAACCTGAAGAACTTTCTATCAAATTCCTCAGTTTTCACCAGAAGCAATACCCTCCTGTGTTACCAAGGAACAACCTGAAAGTCAGGGAAGTTGACAACATGAAAAGAGGTCAAGGCTACACTCTTACTCATGCAGAGTACCAGAATCCAATCCCAAGTTTACTCCAAATCCGTGATCTGTATAGTCACTGGTCCAAACAGAACACCAGAATCATCACAGCAACTTTTTAAAAACATAAACTCCCAACACCACCCCCTGCCTGCCAGCTCAGAATGTCTGAGAGTAGGATCGGAACTCAGGGTTGTTTTTTTTCAAGTCTTCCTGGTGATGCCCTCAGTGAGCACGCTGGAAACTGCTATCTCCTGTTTGTGGTTGCAGGCCAATACCTTTTTCTCATGTCTTATTTGCACGAACATTCTCCCCTCCATCCCCATTTCCAATGATTGCAATTCACTTGTTCTGTAGAACCAAATTGAAAACAAAAATTTTTTTTCAGGCTGAAGTAATCATCTAATCCATTTTTAAAAATTTATTTATTTGAGAGAAAGAAAGCAGAGTGAGAGAGAGCACGGGGTGGGGTGGTGCAGGGAAAGGCAGAAAGAGAGGGAGAAGAAGGCTCCCCACTAATCACGGACCCCCATGCAGGACTGATCCCAGGACCCCAGGATCATGACCCAATCTGAAGGCAGATGAGTCAGTGACTGAGCCACCCAGGCGCCCCACATCATCTATTTTTAAGGAACCTCACAGGTTCTTGTGATTTAAAAAATTATATAAAGAATCCAGCACAGAGCCAGGAGTTTAGCCACACAACACATTAAATGCTTCCGTCTGTTTTCTCTGGCTCTTCATACTTTAAAAGCAAGAACTATGGGGGTGTTAACCAAATCTTTTGGTTTGAGGAACAAAATTTCGTTTGAAAAAAATCTTAAACATCAAGGCCTCTCCGAGTAAGACATTGAGACAACATATTATTATCAGGTGCTGGAAGTATTACCATTATAAGTAATTGACGTGGATGTGTTTGATCAGCTGTTCTCATAAAATCTATACACTTATCAAAACGCCGTCCATCCCCAACCAAAAGTAATGTCCCACCTATCTTCCCAGTTTGGAATAATTTGTTACTAACATACCAGATGACATAGATCAGAAGCCCACTTGGAGGGAGGACCACACCTTAGCCTCCTCTCGGATCCTCTGCAGCGCAGGCTCAGGGAAGCCCAACACAGCCCACACCACCAAGTGCGGCAGAGATGCTCCAATCCCACTCGTTATAGAGAATTAAGCTTGCTCTGACTTGCTTTTTCATCACATCTTTAAAAATCCTTTTCATCTTCACAGTAAGAAGAATGGTATTTCTATAATGTTTTCCCCATAAAAATTTTGATTAAGAAGCTTTATCTTCACCAGGTAAGAATAAGGGGGCACACAGGTTCCAATAAGAATAATTTCATTTTCCTCTTTAAAAAAAAAAAAATACACATCCGGACTCCATGAAAAGATAGCTCATGGCCCTGTCTCCCTTTCACAGCTTCTTCTGCGCAAACTCGTTTACAAAGGGAATAGATTACCAGTCTTTTCTGACGATCTCTCTTTCCCTCATCCTCGTCTGAATTTAAATGGGGTCATTATGTCAAGCTGGAATAAAATTATTTTATACCCCCTAACTCAGAGAAATCTTGTTTTCACTGAAATTATCTTGCTAAGCAATAAAAATGGGCTAGAACCCAATGGTTTGGTATTTCTAAGACACCTCGGTTAGTCGACATGGCATGTGCACCAAAACCCTTCCATTTTCCACCAGCTGTCAGTAGTAAAATAAGCAATTGTTTTTGTTATTTTTAACTCTCCAGGTTTGCTCTGTTCTTACCCAAAAGCCTTGCTTTGCAGATTGGCATCCCCTTTGCAGATAGGCAGTCCCTAGACAGAGGGCCTTGGTCTTTTCTGGAGAAATGAGTAATGTGTGTCCCCTAAATTGGAGCTCAGCCGCCACACTGGGAAGCTGGGGCCTCCTAGTTCAGGCTGCTGCGGGCCCCAGTGTGCTCCAACGCGCTGCGTGCTCCCACGTGCCTCCACGTGTCAACAGCAGAGCATGGGGGGAAGGGCTGGGCTAGGCTCACCTGCAGGCCGTTGCCAAGGCAGAACTCTGAGGGGCTAGAAGAAGGTGGAATAGAAAGTACATGGCTGAGGCACCTGGGTGGCTCATTCGTTAAGGGTCCACGCTGGGCTTGGGTCAGTGGTCCCGGGTCCTGGGATCAAGCCCCGCATCAGGGTGAGCGCCTGCTTCTCCCTCTGCCTGCCACTCCCCTTGCTTATGCTTTCTCTCTCTCTCTCTCAAATAAATAAATAAAATCTTTAAAAAATAAAGAAAGAAAGGGCATGACCTGGTACCTGGAGGCAGAAGGTGTGTGTAATCCTTCTATCACAGTGGAGCCCATTGCCAGAAAAGAAAAAAACCTCTCTCTCTAAACCCCTTGTGAACACATACAGATTCCAAAGAATGATGCAAATGTTCTTTTCTTTTCCTATCAGGATATGTCTCAGATCAGCTGTCTTTTCTATTTCTTTTTCTCCTCTGTGTGCTCCCTCTTTCCACTGAACCCTGTGGCACGTTATTAGTGCTGGACAAACAGATTCTTGGCTCCATCTCAGGTAAGCAAATGTGGACCCTGATGTTCGTCAGACTAGATTATTTGATAAACAATAAAACCCTCCTGCATTTATTGATCATCTCCTAGAGCACAGTAAATTTTTTGCTACAAAGCCCCTCACCCTATCATCCTTGGCTGGATGAGATCAGGATGTTATGGTCTTAAACACTGAAGCAGAAAAAAATATTTTGGCTTTAAGTCCCAAAGACTTAATGCAGAGGTTTAAATGCAGTGGGTTATTTCCACCATACCATACTTACTATTTTTTAAAATAATAATTACAATAACAACTCATACTTACTTTGTTTCTGCTAGTTTTCAGTGCTTTATTAAGCACTGAAGGCTCTGTTAAGCCTCCCAACAATATTAAGAAATAGATTTAATAATTACCCAGTTTCGCTGAAGTTAATTTTCCAAAACTCACAGTAAACAATGGCAGCAGCATCAAAATCAGGAAATTGGGTTCCCCAGCCCATGTCTCAGCCACCATATTTGACTGCTATGTGGGCAAAGAGTACAAAGATTCAGTAATGCAAGAAGAATTCGTTTTCAAGACCTTGTGTCCAGCATGGTAATGACAGTTAACAACACCGTACTGTACACCTGAAATGTGTTAAGAGGAGAGCTCTTCCATATTCTTACCTCTAAATCCCCCAAACACAAATGGTAACTATAAAGGTGATGCATATATTAATTAATTTAATTGTGGTGCTCATCCAACAATATGTATATCAAAACGTCAAGTTGTATACCTTAAATATATACAACTTTTATATGTCAATTATAGCTCAAGAAAGCTATTTAAAAAGAAAGGAAAGGGGCGCCTGCGTGGCTCGGTCAGTTGGGCATCCAACTGTTGATTTTGACTCAGGTCATGATCTCAGGGTCCTGGGATTGAGCCCTGCATCTCTCTCCTTCTTGATAAATTATTTTGCCACAACCCAACAACGGTTCAGTAAGAATTTTCAGTACACACAAATTTTAGATTATTAAAATGTTCTATACGATATCTATTAATTTTAAGAAACAAGTATGCAGGACAAATGCTTTTGAGCGCAAAAATAGGTAAATAAAATGTCTTGTGTTTATTTCATCAACTAGTGTTGTAAAATGTAAATGTGTTTTTGTGTTTAATAGTTAATGACAGGGTTTTCATCAGCCCAAAATGAGAGAATTGCAATGCATTCTTCAATAAACTTGCACAATATATTTGCATTACATAAAAGATTTTCTAAGACTCACATGCTTTTTAAGCTCATTTATATCACAGCATATCATATCACAAACTGTGTACCTGACCTTTTGAGCTAAAACAGGGCAGGTTCCAGATATTCCAAAGATACAATTTCCTCCTGTAGTTTAGTAAAGACCACAAACTTATCAGATTTCTTCAAAATTAATCAGCAGAATTATGCTGAGGGTTTTTTGCATGAGAAAAGAAGCCAACAAAGCTTATATAACTTATATATATAACCATACATTTCCCTTGTTCCCCACTTGAATGTGAACTCTTCTAAAGTAGATAGATGGTTTGCACAAAGAGCTCAATAAACATTGGTTAAATAACTCAGGCTCTCTCTTTTGACTCCCACCCTACCATACACATACCAGTACTACTAGCAAATACCAGAAGGCAACTGGCTCTGAAGTCAGCCCAGCCCCTGTCCCTGGGGAAGTAAGAGTCAGAGTTTAATCACCTGAGCAGAATTTCTTTTCTTGAGAAGAGTCATCACCTGGTTCCCTTGAATACAGATAATTCACTGGATTCATCAAGCTGTCACAGGAATTCATAGGCGTGCTTGAGGTGCCATGAACTTCACTGGCTCAGTGAACTTATTCTGATGACAAAGCTCCTTTTGTAAGAGAAGGTGTAGGTGCGGAGCCGAATTCTCTTGCTAACCTTTGGTTCTCCTTCATGTCAGCCACCCTTAACCCCAATGAAGCAGAAGGACCCTAGCATAAAATGAGCCCTTTTCTGCACAGTACCCCCATGGCCCTTTGCGTTGGAGTCGCTCCCAACCCTGCAGCAGAAAGTTGGCCCCAGGGTTGGGATCCGAATCAGATAGTCTGTTGCCTGCAGAAATGCGCACGCTCAGTTCATAATCCTGCCTACACCCAGTCTAGCGCGAAGCTCCGGTGTTAGCAGCTGCTTTTAGATGTTCATTTCTTTAGTTTTGTTCAGCGTCCAGTTGATTGAGTCGCTTTACAATCAGGCTGTTGATTTTCTTAAGATCGTCTATGTCCTTTCCCTCAGCTGTTAGTCTTCTTGACACGTCATCCATCTTGTTTCCAGTTTGAACTTCAAAATAGAAAACAGACTGCGTTACACTGGTTTCCAGGCTGTTCCGTCAGGACTGGTTAGTGCCTTGTGTTGGTGCTTAGCTGAGTGCTGAAAGGACCCCTTGGCCAGTCCCCTGCTCCAGTCTCCCAGGCAGCCCAGCTGCCCGGGAGAGGAATTGCTTAAGACTAAAGTTATCTACCAAGTGGATTATTTTTACAATTTGTTGGGGCCAGCCTAGACTACCTTTGGAAGCTCCGCACAGATTTTGGTTGAGAAACATCACCATGAGCCACCAAGGGAAACCACCAGCATGTCTCATTATGAGCATGTCAGGGAAGTGACTGTTACTTTGTCTTTTTTAGAGACCTCTTCTCAGAAGGTTTTTGGCTCCTCATCAGGAAATGAGGTTTTCTGGGTTTTGGTCTTTTTTTTTTTTTCTTTTTAAAATTTTATTTATTTATTTGGCAGACAGAGATCACAAGTAGGCAGAGAGGCAGGCAGAGAGAGAGGAGGAAGCAGGCTCCCCACTGAGCAGAGAACCCAATGTGGGGCTTGATCCCAAGACCCTGGGACCATGACCTAAGCTGAAGGCAGAGGCTTTAACCCACTGAGCCACCTAGGCACCCCTGGGTTTTGGTCTCTTTTGACATAGCTCTGCTGGTTCTGGATTACCAGCCCATAAATGAATATGTAAGAATTCCCCTCAGACCATCCTGAGAACAGAAGACAATATTTTCAAAATAAACCAAACTCCTGGTGATAAAGTCAGCTGCAGAACGGAACACACTGAGGCCTGCTGATCAGAGTTAAAATTTCCAGGAAATGCAGCACAAAATCCACACTTATTATTTGAGCTTCTTGATTTTCATTTTAGGCAAGTTTTTTCCAAGGTATCTGTCAGGAACTAATGGTGGTAACATGCCACGAGGCTTAGTGAATAAACTAATATGGGAAGGAAAACTAGACATTAGAGCTTCCCCTTCCAGGCTTGGGACAAATTATTGTTCGGAAGCTGCTTCTTCCCCATGTTTGAAAAATTATGCTGGATGAATTATGATCCAAAACTTGAAGGAAGGATCTTAATTGAGATTTGCTGCAGAGCAAGATGGAATACCACTTGCTTCTGGGGAAAAATGTGAAACTGAAGTAAATTCCTAACACGTGAGACACTTTCCCCTCTTGGGAACCTCCTAGAACATTAGTCACAAAGAGAAGGAAGCAGCAACCATGTTGGCTTAACTGTGTTCCACAATACACTGATTCCAAATTAAATTCTCCCCCCAAAAAAAGGGTTGCATGTGCGAAAAAGTTACAGAAACATTATATACTGACTTGCCTCTTGGAAACTCAGAGGAAGGTAAAAAAAAAAAAAAAAAAAAAAAAAAAAAAAAAAAAAAAAAAAAAAAGAGCATTATCTAACTCAGCAATTCTCAGGTGCATTTGGCCATAGGATCCTTTTTTTCTTCAGGCAACACTTAATAACATCCTATGTGCCCAGTATTCTCCGGAACACACTGCCTGGCCACTAGAAACTGCTACCAGAGGCATCCATAGTTATCTACCCTTGCTGTCTATTATTCCTTTTTAGGAGAGAGATTATGACAAAAACCTAAGGCCCGTTGTTGGGGTTTTATTTTTTTCTAAGATTTTTATTTATTTATTTGAGAGAGAGAGACAGAGATTGTGAGAAAGAGCACAAGCTGGGAGGAAAAAGACGCCCTGGCTGAGCAAGGAGCCCAACCTGGGGCTCGATCCCAGGACCCTGGGATCATGACCAGAGCTGAAAGCAGATGCTTAACTGACTGAGCCACCCAGGTGTCCCAAGCCCCCATGGTTTAATAAGAAAGTAATTGGCATAAAATAAGCCTTCTCTCTCATGTAAAAAGACCAGAGTTTTAAAGAATACAAGTTCTTCCACTTCAGAGAAAGGTTACAAATCTGCACTCAATCCCACTGAGAGCAAAAAGATTTCCTTGTTAAAGAGGAGCACAGGCCAAGTTCATTTCCAGATGCCTGTGCCAACTCTGGTCTTAGTTTGAGTTAAGTTTTGTCTGAAAACCAGAGGAAGTCCTTACTTTATTACTTCAACACAGGAAATGGAGGGCAGGGGAGCTCTGGAGCCGGACAGATGAGGGTTTGGATCCTGGTTCTGCCTCTGATTAGCAGGGTAAACATGGAGAGGTCAACTCTCTGGACCTTAGTCTTGCATTGATGAAATAGAAATATTAAATACTACCTCAAGATGTAAAAATTAAGATAATGAATTATGTGTCTAGCACAGAGCAACTGCCCAATAAAGACATCCTTTATTCATGTCTTCTTCCATTTGTTAATATGACTTTGCCCTCAATATAAAACACCAGCAGCAAATATAAAATAAACCATATTTATAAGGATGCTGATAAAGTCATGCTCTTTGAGGTAGGGCGGGAGAGTCTTTGGGCACTTATGAGCTGTGGACCTTGGGCATGGTAGTTTAACTCAGTCACTGTCCCAGATGGGTGTGGCAGAATGATATTTGGAGCATTCATTTTGGTTGGTGTAACATGTCAAAAGGTAATCCATAGGCTCTCTATGGTCCTGAAGGTTCAGGAACAACCCACATCCAGCCGACGGTCAGATACAAGGGTACCTTGTCAGGAACGTTGCCCTTGCAGGTTCTAAGTGCAAGAAGGCAAGGGCTGGGCAAGAGAGAATCGATTCAACATGATGCCTCCCCACCTGCCCCCACCCACAGGCTGGATAAAAACCTTTTAGCTGGAAGGAGGGAGTTTGGGGGAAAAAAGGGTGGGAAGCTATCAGTCACGTCCTCTGCCCACCTGTCTCCCCCCATCCACCAGCACTACCTCTAGTCCTGAATGAATTTAAATTAAGGGCATTCCAAAGACATGGGCTCCACTTCTCAATGCAGATTTTCAAAGGCTACACGGCCTGCAAAGTAGGAAAGGGCAGAAAGAATGACAGTGTGGTGGATCCAGGGGGAAAGGGTGTCAAAGATGACTCCCTCCACTCGGGCTTCTTTCACTCTTCTCTCGGGGCTGGGAGGAAGCTGAAAAAAATCCTGAATGATGGCCCACAGGGGTTAGCTGTGAGAGAACACTGGTGGGCTTGAGGGCAGGGGGCAGTCTTTCAGCTGAGGAGTTGTGTGGGACAGCCCAGGTCCCCATGGGAGAGGTCAGGCCCAGGCTGAGAGCAGGCAGGGCAGCGAGGAGAGCCCAGGCACTGATCAAACAGGAAAAAAGTGGTCTTATCGCCTTCCTAACACTGCCTCCCGGGTCCGGGGGCCCTGCAGAGCCCTCAGTGTTACCAGCTGATTCCTGGGAAGTGAGAAAACCTGGAAAGGAATTGGAAGCCTCAGCGTGACTCTGCTACAGACCTGAATTAATAGAACCGTTTTACACTGGACCAAGAAAACCGACAGTCACCAAGGATAAGCCGCCGGCCATTTGACAGTTAGGGACTCCAAGTAAGAGAGTAAAGTCCTAGGAGGTGTTTGTGAACTTTGGGCACCATGGGCTTGTGTCCCCACGATCCTCCTGGAGCCGCAGGGCTCACTCAGGGACACCGCACACCCTCTTTCAGCAGAGCTGTGAGTGCCAAAAAGCACGACTCCACCCAGAACAAAGTTAAACAACCAGCCACGAAGTAAGAGCCTTTGAGTAATGAGAACATGTCAGTGGTACTTACCTATTAGAAAAATCACGAAGGAAACCAGTGCCAGGCTGACAATCAGCACAATTATCAGCCCCATAAAAAACAGACTATGACTTCCTTTTCCTGAGTTAGTGCCAACATCCGGGATTTTCTCCTCGAGGGCTGATAGGAAACAAAAACAATGACAAAAACTCCTCTGGCAGATGGTTTGTCCACAGACCTGAACTGTCCCCATGATTAGAGTGTGAGTAAGGGATACATCCGTTTTCCCCAGTGATCGCCCTGGAGAGTGACTTAGGTTTTAAGAATGCCTTTGGGCTGGTGCTCTTTGTGAATTTTTTACCTTCTTCAACATTGGTATTCAAAAAACAAGGAATCTCTTTGGAAAGTTCTTTGAAGATGGTGTTAACACTGAAGGAGCAGGACCGGGGCTTTTCCTGGGCTGGGTAGAGGAAGCTACATACATTAAAGGCTCAGAATGTTGGAGGCTCTGTCTCACCTTCCGCCAGTGTGAGCCAGGAGTAAAACACAGCTGGCTGGGACACCTCTTCTAAGCAGAAGGCAGACTACTCTGGGATGTCACCCAAAGACAGAGATGTCTCTTTGCATCATGGGAGTCATCAGTGAAGCCCACATCCATTTAAGCAGAAAAATGGCTCCAATGTATTTTCGTCTCTTAGAAGCATCTTTGGGATCAAGCTGCTCTGGAAACAAGGTTCTTTTAAATGTTCTGAAGTTAAATTGAGACTGCAACCATGCTTTTAAGGCAGCTTGGGTCCGCCAGAGCATGAAGTGTCTGCATGTTGCCATCATTTTGTAAGGCCCGTGTGCCTAGTGACACCCAAAGTAAATTCATTAAGAAATAGACTTGGGAAGACTAATGACTTCCTTTCTGTATTCTCTCCTCCTTGGCATCAGTCCTACACAGGGTGCTACTTGATTGTAGCTGGGTGAGTGCCTTGTGTCCTGAGCCAAGTCACCCTACAACAACCTTTGCTTCCTAATCAAAGTGATGGGATAAGTTGGCATCGAAACACCTGTGTCTATTGAGACTGACCCAGTAAAAGCAGGTGAAAACCCAAACGCATTAAAATGAAGAAACAAGCAAGACCTCAGGAAGGATGGAAAAGGGGAATAATAGGTGTAAATTTGGGACAGTCAGAGTTTAGAATGGGAATGGAACAAATGGCCAGTGGAAAATTAAGCTGGAAAAATGGGGCTCAGAATGATCTGATCGAGCTCATGTACAATATTTAGGGAATAAAGTCTACATTTAATATTTAGCAGATTTTTGTTTTGCTTTTCCCCCGCTTTCTTCAGCCTTTAGCTGGGGCCATTTGTAATTTGTAAGTAGAAAATTAAGTTGATTTCTTTGCCCAATAAAATTCTAATGCCTTTTTAAGAGCTGGAGGAATGTGTGGAGCATTTTCCAGGAATCCACTATGAAGTCAGAGCTCTCTAGGGAAGTGGGCCCCACTGGTGATGTGGATGGTGTCCCCAGCAGGTGCAACAGATGCCCAGAGGGAGGAGCAAACCTCTCGGAAGACCTGCAGCCTCCAACACTTTCCTGGGAGAGACACTCCACAGAAAAGTCTCAGAACCCTTGAAGACAGATTCCAAATCTTGCTTAGGAGCCAAGAAAGCCCCTACACCTGGCAAGTATTAAAAGAACAAAAACAAGAATTGCCTAATAATAAATAGCACTTCCGTCATTGAGCTGTTCCTAATGCCCACCCTGCCCCCCCCACACCCCCACGTCCAGATTAGCATTTGCTATTTTTAGGTGGCCTGGAAGCCAGGAAGGGCCACCGAGCCTGGGAGGGCGCACATACAGAACAGGTGCTGTGATCCCGCAGGACAGAGGTTAAGTTTGTTTAAGTCGTTTATGGAATCCACAATATAAAGTTTTCTGTCTTCAGGCATGCCTCCAGGGCCTGTGTCCTGGGAATGATTCATTGTTCCTGGAAGAAAGGAGGGACGTGAAGCAGAAGGCTGGGCCCAGGAGCCCCCATCACAAGAACCACCGGCCACAGGCACATAAGGAACCCTCCACATACATTCCTTTCAGCCAAAGGTCTAAAAGAGCTGCGCTTGTCCAGAAGGAAATTTTTCCTTGTGGGGACAACTTCGTACCTACTCTTTTTGCCTGGCTTGCCAGGAAGCTCAACTCAAGTGTGTGGCCCAGTCTGAGCCCTTTATACCTTGCTTCTCTGAATATCCTTCCCCTCTTCCGCTGATTCCCCAGTTCTATTTCCCCCGGGCCTCCTTTTTTTTATTTTCTAAGTTATTTTAAAATATTTTTTTCTTTTATTACATTGTTTATATTCTGGTGAAATGCCTCAAATCCTTTGCCCAAGAAAAGTATGTATAAACATATAGAAAAATAAAACTAAGCTAGTCAGCCTCGGGCCCAAAGATTCTGAGGGGAGAAGAGAGTATTAGGATGAACTGTCCTAACTGCATGAGGCTTTAAAATAAAACTGCAATTTTCTTTTAACTCTTTATTTTTTTAATATATTATTTATTTATTTTATTCTTTTTCAGTATTTTTTATTTATATATATATATTTTTTGAGAGTGGGGGATGGGGCAGAGGCAGACCAGGAGAGAGAATCTCAAGCAGACGCCACACCGAGCACAGAGCCCGGTACGGGGACTCGATCCCATGACCCTGAGATCATGACCAGAGCTGAAATTGAGAGGCAGACGCTCAACCAACGGCACAAAACTGCCATTTTTATATTTTATATTCTCCCTCAATATGGCATATGAGTTTCTACCTTAAATGTACCCTTTAGCCCTGAGTTGCTGGCTGGGAGTCCTCAAGACAAAATCTTCACAAGCTTAGAAGCTACAGACAGGAACCCTACGGCGAGCTGGAGACCAGACTCTGGGACATCCGAGGTCTCTTCCCTCTGAGTTTCCTTAGATCAAGGTCACTTACATAATACAGAATTTTTAAAGTGAGGCTTACATTTTCTAACGACAGCACCACTTCAAGCAACCCCGAAAAGCCTGAATGGATTAAAAAGGTCTATTTTAAGCTGTCTGTCCAGCACAACAGAGAAATGACGGCCCTTTAACTACATGAAATACAGAGCTCTAGGAAGACAAACTCAAATTACTATCAAAGCTGTCTCTTTCACAGTTCTCTTTTCATAAAATGAGTCTGATAGTGATACCAGGCTTTTTGATCTGAAAGGGATGGTAGACATGCTCTGGTTTGGTCCTCATTCTTCCCTCAGTGAGGAAATCGAAGCTGAGCTGGGGAATGCCCGAGATCATACATTTAGTTAGTTGCAGAGCTGGAAGCGGGCCTCTTGCTTCAGAGTTCACTGCGTCGTCCCTTTCTTCTCCGCATCCCTCCCTAACCCTCTTTCAAACCTCAGCTCAAACGTCTCACCTCCTCTAAGAATCAACCTGCTTCTCCTCTGTGCTTGTGCTGGATGCAGTACCTTCTTCCACCAGAACATTTACCCTGTTTTACAACATTTATTGCTCCCATCTTTGACTTTCCCAACTGACAGAAAACTCCTGAGGGTCAGCACCGAATTCTCCAAGTGCCCAGTGTCAAATGTATAAGCCAGTGACTTACAGTAAGTGGGAGTAATTAACATATTTTATACAAGAGCTGAAGCTCACCATTTTCAAAAGAATTTAAGGCAGTTAATAATAAATACACTAATAGAAATAAAACTGAGTGTAAAAATCCTCATGTGATATCTAACTGGCCTCTGGTAAACTAAATAAGCTTTGTGCCTGCTGATAGGAAGCAACACACTACTTCCCATAAACATTTTACAATTTTCCTTCAATAGCAGTTACAGAATGAAGAAAAATAGGAGAAACCAAATTCAGGGGGAAAAAAAGATGTGAACACCTGTAGAAGATCTGAAAAAAGAATCAGCCATTTACTAAGTAGATTAAATTATATTCTAAAATTAAAAACCAGGAATTTTCCAGTGATACCTGAAACCCACTAGGACTTATGAAAAAAAAATATGCTCCTGAAGTCCTAAGAAAAACAGCGAGTTCAGAATGACCTGGGGCGCCTGGGTGGCTCAGTCAGTTGAGAGGCCACCTCTTAACTTTGGCTCATGGTCTCAGGGTTGTGGGATGGAGCCCCACATCCCGCTCCATGCTCAGCGGGGAGTCTGCTTAGGAGTCTCTCACCCTCCCTCTGTCCCTCCCACCACATATGCTCTCTCTCTCTCTAAAATGAATAAATAGATCTTTTTAAAAAATGTCATGGACTCATTAAACTTTTGCTCAACCAAAGTTAAAGACTGAACAAGGTGTTTCAGTTACCCTGAAATTTTAATTAACAAAAATACATAATTCTCTGGGTAGTTTAATTACTACTGAAGCACACCTGAGATATTGATATTACTGAATTCCAAATAGACCCATGGCGCATTCATAAGGGAATGACATGGAGTGGTCATTTTTTAAAAAGCAGCAGCAGCATATAAAATAAAGGAGCCTTAGAGATCAATCACATCTTATCCTCTCACAGGTAAAACCGTAGTGACTGAGGCATGGTCACAGATTTCTATTCTTCCAGAGATGTTTTGTGTGTTATCATCTCGTATACTTTACTCTCCCCGATACTAAAATTTGATGAAGACTAAAGGTTATATGTTTCACATCATAAGATCATCATTCCAGCCATGGCTCCTATTTTAGGCTTGGTGACTGACGCGTGGTTCATTTTTGGATCTCTGACTTAATGTCCTTGAGCCTTCCCCTTTAGGAATGGAATTCGTATTGCTCAAATCTCAGACTGAAGCTTAATTGATGTTTGCAAAGTGGAGGGCCAACTAGAAAATCACAGCCACGAAAGCGAACCCAAGAGCCGTGCAGTTAATTAAATCTCCAAATCATTAGCCTTGCTACTGCTGACTACAAAGGTGACTCAGGGCAACATGGAGTCCAAAAGCACTAAGGCAGCAACGTAAGAGAAAGCTATGAAGGGCCCTGAAAGTAAATTTCTCATTCAGGATGAAGTCACAATATAAAGAGATGCCATTTTCATGTATTTTTAACTAAAACATGCAAATGGAAAATAAAGACCTGTCCAAGAAAACAGAGTTGGGCGTCTGTGGTTCACGGCCACCAAGTGCTCACCAATGACTCAGTAAGTAAATGGATACAGGATCACATGGCCCTAAAATGAGGCCCCACGGCTGTTGGCATCCAGTTGTTGCTATCTGTGGCTCCTCCGTAAAAGGGCAACAATCAGCAGGGCTGGTTACTAAATTCTGCATCCCCCCGCCCCCGCCCCGGCTCAGCCCTCCTCCCTAATCCTGGTGTGCAAATCTGCTCATTAAGGTTGACCAAAGCAGTATCCTTTTAATGGAGCCCTTTCTGATACCTGGCACTAAGACATGTAAGTAATTGCATTTTCCTCCAGCTTAGATCAAGGCTCACAACTGATTCTTTTCATCATTTAAGGACACTTTCACTACCTACAAATATTCTGACAGAATAGTTGTCTATGAAAAATGGCTTTGCTCTTTATTTTTTAACCAAAGGTGCTCGGTCTCAAAGATCTGAAGTAACACACCGATATTGCTTGCCATAGGATCAGAATTGTTATAATCGGGCATAACTCAAAGCTAACAGGAAACTTTGAGTGAGTCATGGTAATTTGTTCTTTAAATTCCATTTCAGAGTCAGTGCCTCTTCACATTCAGGAATTAATTTTTTAAATCAAGTCTAAATCATTTCTATCAAAAGTTTAAAGCAGAGTGCATGCAACAAAAAACATCCCAGGCTCAAGAATCATAATGCAGGTCGGCAGAATAATAACATGCAAATTACTTACAAAAATGTGAGCTTTGACTGCTAGGAGGCCAGGAAAAAAAAAAAAAAAAAAACCTGATCAGAAGCAACTGCAACAAAACTTTACAAATTCTGTGGTTCTTTCTTTGCCTTCCTTCAGCGCACAGGTGCTCCTACAAGGCCCAGAAACTCCAGCTTGATGTCGGTCTATATTTAGTGTTCATTTAGCCAAGCAATGTAAGATGCCAAATACTTTTTTCAAAATGTCTGAGGTTCTTTGTGAATATATTGCTGAAACCATGCTTTGAAAATAAAAAGCCACCATGCTTTTATTCAGTTGGTAACTGATGAGGTCCTTATTTGGCTGGTGTGTGTGTGTGTGTGTGTGTGTGTGTAAGCCCACACATTTCTAGCGCCTCAGCCACGGTATGTGCCCATATATAAATGTCCACTAGCGGACTGGAGCTGCCATCCTGACAACTACCTTGCACAGGACTCCAGACCAGGCAGAGGATGGCAATCAGCAAGGACAGAACAAGGTTTTGATATTAACTAGGGGCATGGCATGTCAGAGAGCCCCTAGGGCGTCCAGTCACTAGGAAACAGGATTGTGGGGGGAGATTTTGTGGCTCCAGACCCACCGCAGAAGAGGGAAGCACTTTGTCTTATCCACCTCCCTGTCTGCTGGAAGGCTTTATTCACTCTGAGTTTTTAGGCATCCTCCTTTCTCAGGAATGTCAGGCTTTCTCTTGTGTGGTTCCCTCACGCACACGCCAAGGAGCTTCTGCCCTCTGCTGTACATAAAAGGAGCTACATTGAGTCCTGCCGTCCCTGTGAGTCCCATTTGAAGGCCACAGGGACAGACTCTCCCAGTGGGATGCTGAGGGCTGGGTACTAAACGGATTCACAGTCATTTCTAATCCCACGTTCCACTGCCACGTCTAAGACAGACATTATTTGTCCTTGAAACATTTTGTATGTCAGTGAGAAAATACTGGCTTCACAGAACTTCCTTTACATTTTACATTCAGTACAGACCTCACCCTACTTTTAGGAGAAAGGAAAGCCATTTTCTTAGGCTTCCTCTGTACCAGAGGACCAATTCATGCAGAAGACATTATAACATAACTGCCTTCTCAGAATTCTATTGTACATTAAAAACCTATGCCAAATTCCATGAAAAATGAAAATGTTTGCTGTTAATTATCAGCCTGTTTTTTAAATACTCCCCTGACTACCTGATCTTAAACCATCAAATCTTTGAAAAAATAATAGAATGGCCTCATTTTGAGCATTTACTGTTTTTCTCTCTCCTATAGTCTTACAAGCCTGTGAATTATCAATTTCCTCCAGGGATGAGGAAAATGGAGTCTAAGCAATTCCTTACACCAAAATCTGAATAAAGCCATTTTTTTTAAAGATTTTATGTTTTTGAGAGAGACAGAGATAGCAAGCATGAGTGGGAAGCAGGACTCCATCCCAGGACCCTGGGACCATGACCTGAGCTGAAGGCAGACATTTAACCAACTGAGCCACCCAGGTGCCCCTGAAATTTTTAAACCAGTGAAGGGGCTGAAAGTTTTTACAGCTTATGACCAATTGTCTCCCAATTCTGGAGAACTACATTAAGAGCAAGAGGACACACCTCATTTTATCTATTACATACCTGAAAGAACACATCAGGAATAGTTCAAAGCCACAAGAAGAAAATAGGTTTTCTCACCTGAATTGTTTAATCTGGGGGCATTTTTAAGTATTTGATTTTTATTTCAAATACTTTATTCTATCTAGATTCAATTCCCAGAAAATTCAGTGGATGCCACTTGAATCATGGAATGCTGGTTGTTCCAAAATTAATGCTTGAGCCTCAAAGAACTTAGTAGGCAGGGGCCATTTTAACCACTGAGCCACCCAGGCGCCCCTGGCAGGGACCATTTTAAATTCCTTTAAACCAGCAAGATTAACGAAGAATCAAGGAATGAAGTCGTCTGTCCTACACCATTTTACTACTTCCAAGAAAACTCAAACATTTGTATACACTGAATCCCTATTAATCCTCGTTGAGCAAACATCCATAATTGCATGAAAATGTATCCACCTACAAACCTAAGAAGCAGATAAACACTCATCTCTTCTTCCTCCTAAAACCCCAGCTAAAAGGCAGAATAAAGATTTCAAAACCACAAGAAAGAAAATTGGAAGAAACAATACTGAACAGTATTTCAACAAATGTATTAAATATGGAAGAGACCGTGGTTGTTAGCCTGCCTTCACAGGCCTCCAGAGGACGATCACTGATGAGTGAGGGAACCTGCAGGGTCCAGGCGGGCTCAAGAATTGGAGGCAACACGAAGTATGGAGCGAAACACAAGCAGGTCATTTCATAAACATTGGAAAACTACATTATAGAAATCTCCCAGAAAGAAAAATGAATGAAAAATAAGGAATCCAGCAGCTTTAGTTATGTCGTGGGGTTTGGACACAAAGAAAAGTGTATATGTGTGTGCGTCCAGTTGGGTTTTTTGGTTTGGGGAGGGTGCAGTGCAGGGCAGGGTCAAGAACTTATGAATTTTATTTTCCAGATTGCCAGGGGCCACCAAAGCACAGTATCACACAATTTTAGAACACTAATAAACCTCTAATAAAAAAAAAATCAGAAATAAATACTGTGCATCACAACACTTTAATTAGAATAGAGCAATGCCTTTGAAAATCTTGATTATCTACCTTAAGTTTTATATACCAATCCATACTACCTTTCAGACATGTAGTACTCTCAAATAAACGACCTCCCATGCACCCAATCCTGGAGTTACTGAAGGAAGTGTTCCACTTCAACAATTAAGTAATCTAATAACCAAGACATAGGGTCCAGGAAATGCGAACTCCAATCCGAGTGAAAAACAAATCCCAGGATGATGAAGTCTCAGGAAACAGCTGTATACATGGGTAAGAAAGAACTTAGTTTACACTGAAACAAGTACACAATAGAGCTTTGACCATGTCAAAAATAGATTTAAAGTTTTACCTATTTGGGACTGTTTTGGAAGAAGTAGTGATGTGTATGTAAAACCAAGACAAAATGTTGAGAATAGAAACAGAAGCAGTGAACTAGTTCGGGAATGAACACAGAAATAGGGTTGCTATAATACAAAGATGCCAATTTAATGAAAAAATACTGGGAGAATGAGAAAAAAAAAGGCAGAAACCTTCATCTATCAAACAGGAAGCTGTCAGATGTTTCTAAACATAGCAAATTAATAAATAAGCAGTATAAGCCCCACTCAGAAATATGAAACCAAGGTGCTAGGAAAAACCTCAAGGCTGAAATGCCCCCTAAGAAATGGAAAAGGATGGTGCCAGGAGCTAACATTTTTCCTTACAATCCTTGTGGTACTATTAAGCTATGTATATAGATCGCTTTAATAAAAATTCATTATTTAAAAATATGTATAAATACAGGAAATTGAAAATTAAGGGGGGGGGAAACACTACTTGCAATCTCTTTTCCACAGTTCTCACCTACTTGGGAGCACAAGGAGGTGACAGCAGGCAAACTCAAATTCTAGATTCCAAGGCAGTCTTCCGCTGCACCGGATCTGAAGGATGGAAGGATGGGCCACACACTCACAGCAACCAAGAGCACCCCCACAGCCCAGCCAAGTGCAGCCGAGGGGCCCCATCAGACCTCCCAGAGATGTGGAAAATGCAGGAGAGGAAGAACTCTAGTTTGGGAAGTACCTTCACTGATTTTGGTTCTTCTCTACACTGTACATGCTTCCCCACCCCTCCTACCTCTTATTACTGTTCTCTGCACTAATACCAAAGAAATCAGTAACTAAAATCCCAATGATATGCTACAATATTATTCTAATTTTCCCAATGACATTGCTACTTTTTTTTTTTTTCCATTTATTTTCATGTTGTCCAAATATACAGAGTAAGTTTTCTTCTCACTCTTTCCCTACTAGCTTGGTCATTTTGAACTCTACTTCAGACCCAGAAATGTTTCTTCTATTAGAAAAGAAGCACTTTTTATGTGAAAAGATCTTTATTTCAAAATACAAGAATATAGCAGATAAAATGTATTAGTACCCTCAGAGGTCAAGGTTAGCAGCCTTTCTGGCATATGCTAATTGTTCATGAACTCCCATAGCTGGAATGAATAACCTTTAAGTACATCTGTAAGGTCTATTCTGTAAGGTATAAATTCTCTATGTTGATCCCAGTGGCAAAATTAAATTAGGTTCCATTTAAAAATTAAAATATAGCAGCTTTTCCAGAAGAACTAGCTCCCAAAACCATATCCAGAACTCACCTATTTAACATCTTAACTTAAATACCTTGTATATTTACAACATTATAATCAATATTTTTGGACAACCACAGTATAGGAAATTTAACCTTGGGTAGTAATTTTCCTCATTATGAAATCAAATGAAATATCGTATTTTTGCTCTCCTCATAAACAGAAAATGACCAAACATTACATTTTATTTATGTTTATGTTTACAGAGAATAGTCAATAATCAGAACTCACAATTTGTAATACTGTACATTAAATTATAATATAACCCCTGCTACAAAAGCTATCTATGCGGACCCTAGATAAAAACTATCCCTAGTTTAAATACATTAGGAATTACCAAAGGGGAAAAAAAAATTTAGAAAGTGGTCTTCCAATCCTGAAAAGCTAGAAGAATTCTCCAACATCTGCTCTCTTATCTCGACATTTGCTTCGAGCTTTCGTTCGAGCTTTGAAGGCTGCAGAGTTATACAGGTGCTGAAATGAAGGAAAGGAAAACACATGTGGATCACTAAAATTTAAGATACTCTGATAAAGCATGAATTAAAAATCACAAAGCAAAGAAATGAGCTAACTCAACCTTATCAATTTTAAAAGTTTATAAAGCACACAGAAAGAACAAGGGGGAAAATAAACACATAATAGATGATAGATATTCTGTATTAAGAAAAAGTATTATTCAAATATGTAAAATACCAAATTCCAACAAAAACTTTTTAAAAAATGCATCAACATTTAATCTGATCAAAGAAAAAAACAATTCATGAACTAAAGTGAACAAAATACCCAAAATATCCAATTAATTAAAATAGCAAGGAAAAAAAATTAAGGCTCCATCTTAATGCCAATTAAACTAACAAATGTTTTAAATCCTAAAATTCAATGCTGTCAAATATGTAATAGCTATGTACCTTCATTCATTACTAGAAATAATTAAAAATGACAGAATAACTTTAGAAGGTAATTTGGCAGTACATATCAAATAAGTCAGAATTGACTCTGTATTCCCATGTACAGATTTCTTCTGAGAAAAAAATTCAAAGGAGAAATATATGTAAAGATGCTTATATTAAAATACTCATCAATTATATGACCATAACAATGATTAACTATAGAGAGTCTATAAAAATATAATTAAACACTTCAGGGGCACCTGGGTGGCAGAGTTGGTTAAGCTCCAACTCTTGGTTTCGGCTCAGATTGTGATCTCAGGGTGGTGGGACTGAGCCCCACATTGGGTTCTGCGCTCAGCATGGAATCTGCTTGAGATTTTCTGCTCTGCCCCTCCCCCAAATCGCACATTTATGCGCTCTCTCTCTCCCCCAAATAAAATCTTAAAAAAGTAAATTTATGTAAGAAATATATATATAAACATATATATGAGATAAACATATATATTTATAAACATATATATATGATTAAGCACTTCACACCCACTAGTATGGCTATAATTTAAAACAAAACAAAAACAAAAAAGCTAGAATAACAAGTGTTGATAAGGATACAGAAGTTGAAATTCTCATACACTGCTGGTAGGAATGCAAAATGGTACAGGACCTACAGAAAATGGTTTGGCAGTTCCCTAAAAAATTAAACATATAACTACCATATGACCCAGCAACTCCATTCCTATACCTAAAAGAATTAAGAACAGGTGCTCTAATGAAAACTTACACACAACTGTTCATAGCAGCATTATTCACAATGGCCAAAAAGTGTAAACAAGCTAAATGTCCATCAATGGATGACTGGATAATCAATAATACTCCACACAATGGAATATTATTCAGCCCAAAAAGGACTGAAGTACTGGTATGTGTTAGAACATGGATGACCTTTAGCAACATAATGCTGAATGAAAAAAAGCCACACAACAGGTCACATGTTATTTGAGTCTATTTATACAAAATATCCAGAATAGGTAAATGCAGAGACAGAAAGCACACAAGTGGTTGCCAGTAGCTGGGGGAAGAGGAGGGGAGAGGGGGAGAATGGGAAGCGAATGCTTAAAGGTATAAGCTTCCTTCTGAGGAGATGAAAATATCTTGAAACTAGACAGATAGCTGTACAACACTGTGACTGTACTAAAAGCCCTGAATTATACGACTGAAAACAGTTTGTTACGTGAATTTCACCTCAGTAAAAACATAAGAATAATTATAATTTAAGGATTTTTGAAAGGTTAAGTGAAATTATAAGTAATGTCACAAACTCTGTAAGCCTGTTTCCTTAACTTGCAAATGAATCTGGTACTTATTAAGTAGGTTTAGTTATCTGATACAAAAGCAGCACTATGTAATATTTATTCTTTAATAGAAGTTAACAGAATAAAGGAAAACAAAAAAGGAAAATTTCTATATTAATGGGACTAAGGATAAAATTATTCAATACAACCCCTCTGTACTCTAACTGCAATGAAGTTTCTACAATTTTAATACAGCTGTTGTGTCTGAAACAGCATGAGGCACTCGAGGCCCACAGACTCCACTCAACACCTATTGCCTGGTAGAATCGAAGCATCAGGTCTGCTTCTCTTCAATGCATTTGGTTCTGATGAGAACAAAAACAAAACCTACCCTTTCAAAACGAGAAATCTTCATTGTTTTAAGTGTTGCGGCATCAAGCATCACAGGGGGTCCAAGTTCAAATACATTACGAAGGAATTCATTTGACTTGAGTAAAATAGAAAGGTAATAAAGCTCATTATTAAACATCAGCTCTTTTTTATATAAAGTGAAATGATTAACAGAAGTAATGTGAAGCTTATAAATAAGAAGATAGGTCACTTATTTTCTGCTTCTCTTTGTAAGACTAAATTCTTTCAAATGCCTTGAATCCAGTAAAGTTATGAGAAGAGCAACAGCGCTCTACCGAATTTATAGATGTTCCACTGGATTTATACAATACAAACAGAAGAGTTTCTTACTTATTGAATTCTACTTTAAAATATAAATGTAAAATTAATTAATAAAATGTAGTTCTGTATCATGCTGAATGCATTCTGCATATCCCGCTAACTTCAAAAGCCCATTCAGTGAACTACATTCAAAACTGCTCCCTAATTTAAAAGCAAACACACAGAAAAGAGGTCACTCACTCACCTGCAAATGATACTGCATCCCTGATCCAAGAACTTCCTTAAAGGTGTCATAGGTATGTTTTTTGACCCAGCAATCAATATACATTCGTTCAGGGCCAAATTTAACAGTTTCTGCTGGAAAATCCCGTTCCTAGACAACAGAAGAACCAAAATTTTAAGAGGAATTAAGAGGACTTAAAGAGATCCTACATAAACACAATTTCTAAATAGATACATTTACGTGCTGAGGTAAGAAAACAATATGGTTTAAACTGATATTGCCATCCCTGAGATGTGAATAGACTAGAAATTACTATCCTAATAAGGGTGTAGAACTTCCATCTAGTTGTCATAGACTTGGCACAACTGAGTTCAGATAAATCTTACTGGCAAACCACATTGTTGAGAATGTCTTTAAATTTCAGTAGCCCTCAAGAAACCTCGGGAAACAAACTGAGGGTTGCTGGAGTTGGCGGAGTGGGAAGGATGGGGTGGCTGGGTGATGGCCACTGGGGAGAGTATGTGCTGTGGTGAGTGCTGTGAATTGTGTAAGACTGATGTATCACAGACTTGAACCCTGAAACAAATCATGCATCATATGCTAATTTAAAAGAAAACTTGAAGGAAAAAAAGTTATCTCTACCGGTCTACAAATGGGGTGAGGTGGGGAGGGAAGAGGAGGAGGTATCAAAGATAAGATGACCCCACGTGCCAGTGGTGAAACCGAGGGGAAGCAGGGTCAAGAGAACACAAACGGGGTTAACAGACCAACCAAAAAGAAGAGGACCAGCAACCAGGGGGTTCCAAGGGTTTAAGACCAGGCTTATTAAGAAAATGAGAGCAGGTACACCTGGGTGGCTCAGTGGGTTAAGCACCTGCCTTCGGCTCAGGTCATGAATCCAGGGCCCCAGGATTGAGCCCCACATGGGGCTCCCTCTGCCTCTGCCCCTACTTGTGCTGTCAAATAAATAAAATCTTTTAAAAAAAGAAAGAGAGAGAGAGAAAATGAGAGGGAATAGGTGAGTTTAAGACTTCAGAGATGGAATAATTTTGCCAGAAGACAATTTTATAAAGTATAACCCTGAGAGAGAATCAAGTGAATGGAAATAAAGGAAATGGAAGTAAAGATCACAAACAAATACAGGATAGGGTTTTCCAAATGCACAGGAGTCACACAGACTAGGGGCAAAACTTGGGAGGAAAAACACTGGCCACTCCATTGTTTGATGAATCGTGACTATGAAAGAACCACCAGGAAGAGAACAGCGGGTCACCGGAGACAGGATAAAGAGACGGAACGTGATCACCCCGACTGTCTTCCCCACACCTACGTACCCCCTTCTTCCCCAGCAGACACAGCATATAACACGGAAGAACAGAATGCAAACTCCAGACTTACACAAGTATGCTACTCACTGGCCTGTCATTTTGCCAAGTAATTTAACCCCTTTGGGTCTGTTCCCTTGCTTGTCAAGTGGGGCTTTCCTCCCTCTACCAGTTATGACAAGTGTAAGACAAAGTCTGTGTGTGAAGCACATACAGTAGCTGATCTGTTACAACAGCTCAAAAAACCCACGAGGGTTCTACTATTTCAGCCTTCCTTATTGCAGAAAACACTGAGACACCAGGAAAGAACTCCCTCTAAACTCAACTGCATCCTTACCTACTCTTCTCCTAGATCTCTCCAGTTCAAGGCAAATCATACTGTTTACATCGTACTCTCAACCTTTCATTTATAGTTTAAAATGCTCCCTTCTCCATGGCTTTCTCCTCCCATAAAATGCATCCAGCATCTTAAACAAGACACAGTAACACACCCTCCCACAGTCCGGTGGTCAACTCTCTTCCCCTTCCAATTACAGCCGTGTTTTAAAAAAGAACAGTCGAGACACCCCATCTCCACTTCTTCACTTCCCATTCTCTTTTCAATCAATCGCCATCAAGCTTTCCTGCCATCATTCTACTGAAGCTGCACTTGTAAAGGTCACCCACCAACGACCTAACTGACAAATCCAATGGACACTCTGACTCTCTCTCACTTGCCCATCTGCAGTACTTGGCCCTGTTGAAAGATACCACAGTGCAGTGAGTTCAAATTCCAGCTTTCCTACTTACTGTTCTTTATGCCTTTAGTAAACTCCTTTTTCCTTAAAAAGTTAATTCTGTTGCTTAAGAGTTATAAAGGAATTAAAATAAGAAAACTGTATGTCAAGGTACCTAACCTATTAAATGCTTGCTAACTTGAGAAATACACAGTCTTAAAAGAATGACTCCTGAATGAAAAGAAATGACAGGCAGCAATAACTATGCCTAAAATGGAGAATTCTCCTCTGTAGCAGTTTAACAACCTCCATCCATCCATCCATCCAGGAAACAGGGTCCTTCAGAGAAAACTGGCTTCCAGTAAAAGCAAAGAAACAGCAACACTCAACAAGGCTGGAAGGCCAGACCTTTCTTTGGCAGGTACAGTGAAGCAGAGCTGGAGCACAGCGAAGCCGGTCAAAGGGCAGGGGAGGAAGAGAAATCCTGAGATGGAGAGGAGAGGGTGTTTAAGGTCTGGGAAGGAGAGCCCCACAGGTCAGAATTATGAGACGAAGAAAGGGCTTTTACTTTTTGTACTGCTGGGCAAGAGCAACAGGCACACAAAAGACCTGTTAAGGCTGCTTAAAGATTTTACTTATTTATTTGAGAGAGAGAGCGCGCACAAGCAGGTTGAGGGGTAGAGGGAGAAGCAGGCTTCCCGCCAAGCGGGGAGACCAATGTGGGGCTCAATCCAAGAACCCTGGGATCATGACCTGAGCCAAAGGCAGATGCTTTACTGACTGACCCACCCAGGTGAGTAGTTTGCAGTCATTCAAGAAAATGGCTCAATTTGAGGATACCACCACACTAAAATTTTAAGATCAAAAGGATCAATTGTTAATACAGATGTCTGCTCAAGTTCAGGAATTTTATTCTGTGTTTTAGATTATAAAAACCAGAGTAAATATAAACTACTATTCTAATTAGAGTTAGCATTATCCAAAATGTTCAGGTCCCAGAAGACCTCTATACTTATACCCTAGGTTATACTTAGATTAAAATGAAGAAAGTAGTTCTTAAGTAGTCTATGTATGAGAATCATTGGAACATTTCAAAACTGGACTTGAATGGGGTCTTAGCATCTTTATTTTTTTAATTCCCATTCTAAGTTTTCATATACATGTCAGGTTGATGACTCTTTGGTGTCATACTAATTCTTAAATGAACTGCCCTATCAGATAGCAAGTATCTGAGATATTTATTCTTATATCCAAGAAATAATTCTTATCTAGCTAAGAAAAAGAAAAAGAAAAAACAAAACAAACACTTTGGTAATCTCCACAGTAAAACTGCTCTTATCCTACAGTTCCTTGTAACCATGCATTCTATCCAAATCCCTGAAAGTTTCTAAATCAATTTATTTGCCAGGTAGATTAAAATAGGTTAGAAGACTATAGAAGATACTCAAGCATCAGATGATTTTAAACCCTTATTTAAAGGCTGGATTTCATCACTTCTCGGCCTTTTGGCTAAGATCAAGTGTAAAGGCTAGATTTCGTTATTTCAGTTTTTAGCACTCAGGTTTCCCAGACAAAGGTCTTTGTTTAAAGTACTGAAGGGTAGGCAATAATTTAC